GTTTTGAATAGTTGTCAACTTCCAACTTACTTTCAACAAGTTAAGGTGAAACAATTTAAATATAGCTAGTAAAAGAAATTTTGCAAGAATACATTTCTTTTTCACAATATAATAGAGAAATATAATCAGGCAGAGAAACAGCTGTTTAGGGCAAGATGTGCAGTTGGACAATTCTATTCACTTTATGCGCTTACCTCATTTTGGAAGCTATGCAAACGACTGCCAAGTCGCTATAAGTTTAGTGCTTTTGAGACCTGTCGACTCAGACACCAATGAGTAGTATATTATGATTCAACTATCAGTCCCCTTATCGCCTTAATCCAAATATGGTGGATACGCCTCGGTCCATTGCCATTGCTCGCAATCACACTACCACATTCTGATTGAACCGCCTCAATCTATGTGATGTAGGACTTGTACTACTCATGCTCTACTAATGACGCTGTCAGATGACTGGGGAAATTGTACAAATTAGCCAAATGGCTAAGACAATAAATAAGAAGTGAAAATGTGGCAGGTTGAACGCCAACTAACCTTGGCAATTGGGTAGGGTTAGGATGAGGCAGCAGGCGGAACTATCAAGTGAATAAGAATGCACGCATGCATGACACGGATGGCATCATACATGCAACATCACATGTTCAACAATAGTCTCACACGCCAACACAGCAAGATCAAGCTCCAATTTAGTTGTGCGAGCGAACAGTTGTCGGTTCACATCTGCATCTACTGCAAAAAAAACAACAACAAGCAACTACATTGCTCTGCACCCAGGCTTGGGGCTGTCTCTTCTCATCCATGTGCATATGGTACATGTGGGTGTGTACATGTGGACATGTAGGCAGGCTGTCCTCCCATTTACTTATCTCTATCCGCTCGCCTCGGCCTGATGTCGCCTACAGGCCGTCCACTAGCCTGAAGTGCTCTTCTGGGCAATTCGTCCCTTTGACCTCCGAACAGCATACCTCCTGAAACGGTCGCCTTGGTGCTCTCCAGTCGATTGCTCTAATCTTGCCGACACGACGCCAGTCGGCCAGAGCCAGTGGCAGCCAGTCCTTTGTGTGTGTTTTGGCGGCCGGCCAAAGGAAGAGGCCGGCCAAGGGGAGGCTGGCGGAGGTGGGTTTCCGTGGCTGTGGGTGTGGGGGGCAAGAGAGAGGGAGCGATTGCTGTAGTGTGCATTATCCGGCCTGGCGACAGCCTCGAACTCGGTGCACTCAGGCGCATGATGGTGTGCAGGCCTCTCATCCTCAAACGAGAAATACACAAAAATTCACATCCCTTCCGGCCCCTCACCCACCTTGTCACACCAATTTGCCTCTAGCCCCAGGCCCGTCACCTACGCCCGATAGTACCCATTATGCTTTCTGTTGCCATGCCGGCCATTGTGCATGAGACATGTGCGACAGCACTCACGGTCACTAACACGCCGGCCCAGATACAGGGGGCATACGGGAAGAGAGGAGCACAATATAAGTCACCATTCTCGTCTGATCCTAGCCAAGATCTTTCAGCAACGCCGGCTCAACCCACAGAACACATCGGACCAGAAGAGTTGACCTTGGGCCAAGGTAGCGAGGCTCAAAATCGTGGTATGGTGGGACAACAATGGAAAGGGTGACAGTGGATACGTTCATACGACCCCCGAAACAGGTATCCTTACAAACTGAGGGTCTCATGGCACGAAGGAATGACGATATTTTAAGTATTCTATTATTAGCTGATTCTGATTGAGAAGTATGAGGAGCGGCAAGAAACGTACAGAAAAATGAGCTTACGAAAGAAGATGATGTTTTTGCTGATTATCTTATGGTATGTTTCCGAAAGCTACTCTAAAAGCCAGCTTTATCTGTAGACTCACCAACCTTAATTTGGTCTGACTTGATTTTCCATTTCAGAGGAAAAATTGGCTGGGACAATTCTCAAATTGGTTGCACCGTGCTCACCGTGCTCTGACTCCGATCAACCCGTGCTCAACTTTAGTCTATCATGTAGTGGACAGCATCAGAGCAAGAAACCCTATTCTACGAAATAACTCACCAATATACCAATTTACGAATTCCTTTCTATCAACTTTTCCTGCGAAATACAAAGTTGACTCACCACGGCACACTAAGTGATGATTCGAAACCCATTTTTTCTTCAGATCTACAAAATTAGCTTTGGTCGCTACAACTGATGCAGTAATGCTAGAAAATGAGTAGGATTCACCCTCTGATAGAAGTTCACTCGCAAAAGATTGGACTTGAGCCCGGGTGACAAGCAGAAGCGTTACTGTGTGACTTTCAAGGCATCTCAGATCCGCCGAAATACCAATTTTATATTCAAAGTATAATATAATAATTTAATAAGTAGTAGTATAATAGTAGTATATTATAATTCAACTATCAGTCCCCTTATCACCTTAATTGCTGCCAATCACACTAACACATTCTGATTGAACAGCCTTAATCTATGTGATGTAGACTTGTACTACTCATGATCTACTGATGACGTTGTCAGAACCATTCCTCATTAGATTGAGCAAATTTGCGGATGTGGATCTCTACACCGCTTCATTGTATGTGCTAAAGAAGTGATAAAATGAATCGAATCGTAAATCCTTTGCTCTGCCTTTCAATCGAAGCCGTGCATGTACTGCATGTAGTGTTCAAAATTAGTGTCGTTTACCTGAGGAATCACTGCATTTTGGACAATCCCCACACCTTTTCGACTGCTGCCAGACTTCAACCCGGATCGAAAAAGCGAACATGGGCAGTTTGGTACCCATTTCAATTCATCCCATAATCTGACGGCTTCAAGTGAAATTGGGGGCTTTCCACTCACATCTAATCTACTCGTTACCATTCCCCTCTTTTAAGCCATGGTGCTTGTCGAGCTGTGCACACACCGACGTCATCATGCATAGTCTCAAAGTATTCACATTTCTACGGTAATTAGACAAACATCACAAATTCTAATGTCCAATCGGCAATGGACCCATGCCATTGAGACCTCTGCGAGGTTGAAATAGCAGTCGGTCCTTGATAAGAAATACTTTTAGAAGGCAAGATCTAGTAACATTTAACAGTCTCTATAGGCCTACGCATCTTATTGTGGGAAAATGCGACTATCCGTTCACAAATCACCTTAAGAGACCAACAGTGACTATGTTCTTATTCAAGAAATGCTCTCATCTGAAATCACACAAATTTTGTCGCCTTCTAACTTTGCATTTTACGAGCGAGTATACGTCATCCTGAGTGGATTTGCATTCAGAAATACAATCAGATATTACTCCAATCCCACTCTTCTTCAAGCAGCTCCAGGCTACGATATCTGCGAGTCGGGCATCAGTATCCTGAACCTCCAGAAGCCAGAATAATCGCGTTTAGCCGATATCAAACACAAAGCCTAGTCCAACGACACTCATTTTGGCTGGAGCGATACCACATTACTGCATAATTTCTAAACTTAACTGAAGTGAATGTCACGGAGGTGGATTTTCTTGAATTGAAATATTATAATGTGTGATAAAGTTTATGCGGGATAAAGCTACCGCGTTACTGCGTTTATAGCATGTTTACTTCTGCGGTGATTGAGTAACGCAGTCAAATTCTTGACACCATAAAAATTTTCTTATACATTCAAATTGCAATTCTACATCGGTAATTTACTTAAGGATATTAGGTGCAGTTTTTTGAATTAAATGCTAATTTTATGATATCATATGAGGAAAAGATGGTTCTCAAGGAATATATTGGTAGATATCAATTTTGTCCGGACTCTCATTCAATTAAAATGTCTATTTAAGTAAGTGGTATAGGAAAATCAGCACAAGGCTAAACAGGCCAGGATGAAAATGTACTAAGCTTTAATCGTTCCTATGTAAAACGCCATCAAAAAGTCAGTATTCATGTCATAATCTCGAGCTTACAACAGCCTAATCAAACTTAAGTTTCGCCATTCCTAGCTATAGCCATATATATATAGTAATGTATGCATAAATGACAGGTTTAGAAATTACTTGAAATTTGCTTACAATATCTCTTAATATTGATGTTCATATATGCATATGCGTGTGAGTGTGTGTTAACTCGTGGACATATGAAACAAGATCGACAATATCACGTAATCAAAGCGTAACGACAAAATGTTTTTAATCTAAGGAGACCCAGAACTCCGCTCATGCAATGTCAGAAATTCGTGTAGCTGAGTTGATTAGCTGTCGGAGTGTAAGTGTAGAAAGTGTTGCTCAAATACCAGTAAACATAGAGTATTTTGGTTAGTATTTGAAAGTGACTCAATCCGCCAGATGTAACCTTATTTCTGGAAATCTAGAGTAAATAGTTTCTGCTTAACCTTTGCAAAGTACCTCATACTCTGGTACTTCTCGTATATTAATCTCAAACTAATTCTGGTCACAATGACGCCAAAACTCCAACAAGACAGTCTTCATTCTAAATAAAAATATTATACATCGAAACCATCGGC